TTGTATGAGAAAAACAAAAAAAAACTTATTTTTTTATTTCAAAATGTATTTTTTCATTTATAGTGCAAAAAATTAAAATTCCAGTGGTGATTAAAACAACACCAAAAGAAAGTGTGTGTGAATACAAATGTTAAAAAATTGTATATGGGTACAGTGTTGCATGACAGTACAATTGTCATTCAAAGGACAAAAGGGCTAAAAAGCTGAAAATTGGCCTGGGCAAGATGGGAGTAAAAGTGCCCAGTAGGCAAGTGGTTCATTAGAGATTTTATTTGAAAGGGTCACAAAAGAAAAAGCAACAGCTGAACACTTGTGCTTGTGTCCTGAACCCGGAAACAGGCAGCAACATACCTGTACCTTATCAATCCAAATAATCTGTGTGCAATCAGGGAGGTCCTGATATTTGTAGGATATTGTACAATCGTAACATGTGGCCAACCTCACCTTTGCAATTGTGAACGAGAACAGAGCACCCTCCTCTGAAAGAGATTTTTTTTTATGAGTGCACTTGTCTTTGGCTTGTCATATCTAAGCTGTGTGAAGAGAAGTCAGCAAGTGTACCTGTTATTTATTCTAGTTGAAAGAAGGAACTTTTTAGTAAACATTTTATAATGCTCAGAGAAACTTAGAGAATTCTAGTTACTCCATTTGCACCTCAAAAACTTGTTTGAGGTCATACAGGCAAATACAAAAGGAAGAGTTCACAATGGCTTGAAAGAGGAGTGGTGGTGCAGAGCTGGTCAAGGTCTAGGAAGAAGCAAAGTGAAGAGAATATTAGCAGGAAGTAGACCAGATCTGGAGATCTTGGATAGGAGTTGAAAGACCCCCATAAGGCCTGAAATAACGGATGGTTGTTTGCTGTCCACAACGGGCAAGTAATGAGGCCTAGTGAGGTCCAATGCATGAATCCATCCCTGGGCTGACTGATATTCATCTCCTATGGCTGTCATGGGGTTCTAGTGGAGAGTATCTAGTGTATCCAAAAAAAAAAGTCTTGCTCCTGCCCAATTTTCCTACTACTGATCAGCCTCAGGTTGTTTTTGTAAGTCCCAAGGATATAACTGTTAACTATACTTATGGAATAGCCCCATTGGGGTACACTTTTTTTATGAGTTTTTTTTCTCGTTTGTTTTTTGTTTACTTTAAATAAAACATTTTCATGGGGGGAAAAAAACCCGTAGCCACTCCCAAATCTCCATTACATTTTTTTTTTCAGGAAAAAAACATAGTATCATCACTGGGAACGTTTTGATCTCTCTGACAATGTTAAGGCCATGTTCACCTTTTCCAGGTGAAAAAACATTAGAGTGTCTCCTGTAATACTGGGAGTGAGCATTCAATGGTTTTCACATCCTAGCAACAAAACAGGAGTTTTTCAGCCAGGCTTTCTGGGAGGCACCAACGGCCTACAGGAATGACCAGAAAATTAATGAACAATTTAGAAAACTGTCTAGTATTCTAATATCTACATAGGCCCTGACTGCATTGGCTATTTTCTGGAAAAGGTGAACTTAGTCTTTACCATTATAGTCCCTTCTTCATTATGAATCATTTCCTAGGTGGATCCCTGATTTAATCACCATGGGCGTCTGAACCCAGCCCTCCTCTGCTCTCCATAAATACAATTATTAAAGTGGAGATTGCATACATACACATCTCTACAGCAATAAACATTAATAATGGGTAGTCATTGCTACTAGGCCTCATGTCTGCTGTCACTATTACACATTATATGTAAGAACTTTACAGGCACAACACAAATAAGAACCTACTCAACACAATGGGAGAAATTTATAGCACTAGTGGAGTAACCTGCATTACAACAAACTGAGGTTGTTTTGGCAAAGTTCTGGTTTTAGAGATTAGTTTTGATTTTCTTCTGTTTGTTTAGACGTGGATAGAACAAGGAAGGGTTTAGTTTTAAAAACTGTTCAAGCTCAAACACTGAGCTCAAAGCTATTGTATCAGAGGAGAGAAAGCACATGTGAGGGAGTTTGAAGCAGAAAGAGCTTGCTACTGTGTTGGTAGAAGTGAACAGCAACAGCTAGGAGTCTTAGTAACATGGTGAGACAAGATGCAGTCTCTGGGAGTTTCTCAGTCAGGTTACAGGAGGTACAGCCTACACCAAGGACATTATTCAACTCTGATCAAAGCAACTTTTTTTAATCTACGGTGCCCCTGACCTGCATTGGTAGTTTTTGGCAAAGGAACTATGCCTTTCAAGCCGCTACTATTCTGCATGGCCAAAGCATAAAAAAAAAATTGCTTTACAAATATTACTAACAGGCTAGGTTCACACTAGAACATTGTGAGGGAACCCTGTGACCAACACGCATTGCAGTTGCGAATCTGCTGCAGGGGTCAATGTTAACACCCCAAATGCAGTGTTTACCTGCACCAGATTGCATGGTACAAAAAGTACCACGGCAAGCCAGTGCAGTGCATTTTCAAAAGTTGGACATGCAGCACTACTTTTGGTACAAATGGCATGCAACTGAGCCCATGCAAAATAAATGGGCTCAAATCTCACTGCACTGAATTGCATTGGAATGCACTGTGCAAGAACCAGGGAAAAAAACCCACCAACCCACAGTAGCTGAAGTCCATACTAGAAAAACACAACTGATCTTGCACATTCTGCCTCTAGTCTGAACACAGACTTAAGATGTAGCTTCAGTTTGCAGGCAGAAGAGCTCTTCTGCCTGTAATGTGTTTAGCTGCTTTACAGCAGTGTTTCTCTAGTAGGGTTCCTTCAGCAGTGATCACACCTAGACTGAGCACTAAGATGGGTGTCATGTGTACACTGACTTAGGCAGCAACACCAGTTCCATGGTCCCCCTTCCAATTCAAGATTACTGAAAACTGTAGGTGTTTGTAAACCAAATAAGGTGCACCCCAGGAGTCAAACATGTCATTTGATGCCAAAACCTCATCAGCATATCACACTAATCTAGCATGATCTGTAGGTATATTCTACATGTCTAGCAAGGACCCCACAGCCTGAAGTTTCAAAAAAGGTTTATTAGTGGTAAAATTAAGTTGAGAATGTGCCAACACCCCAAAATGGATTGGTTTAAACCAGGGGTTGCCAGATGCAGCCCTTTGCTAGTCTACATCTGACCCTTGGGGCATTATTCCTCCCAATGATATGGGGCACTGTTCCTCCCACTGACAATGGTGCACCATTTCTTCCACACTGATGGTATTATTGCTCCATTTAATCCAATGATGGGGCACCAATCCCACCAAACCCTGAGGCCATGTGTATCCTCATTGATGCTGGGTCTAGCGGGACATTTTCTACCCCCACTGGTAGTAATCTGGCCCCCACTAAAGTCTGAAGGACAGTAAACAAACTGGTCCTTTGCTGTAAAAAAAGTAAAGGGTTTAAACCATGGTTCTCTAAACTTTTCAAAGTAATGCAGACTTTCTGCCCACAGAAATTAGTATATAATCTAATCCACCAGAACCTAAAACACTCATTGCTCCTAGTTTACACCAGATTCATTCAGAATGGCAGTATAGGAAGGACCAAATGCTGCTACACAATTTGAACAATTAAGGTGCTAGACAGATTTGGGAGGTGCATAATCTTCCCCTAGTAGTTAGTGTATTTATAGTTTGTCAGTGAAGCTAGTTTTGACTGAGCTGTGGTATAAAGGTCTTCCAAAATAGATCAAGAACATAGAAGCTGGGACCTAGAATAGATATACAAGAGTTAGTTGACTTTGCAGTACGAGATACAAGACACTGCTCCATCACCAGATTTAATGGCATTACTGTGCTGCTCAGTTCTTGCTGGAGACCAACATGAGGAAGCAGAGACCAGTCTCTACCAAGATGACCAACACCAGTGCATTACAAGGCATGAATGTCAAATAGGAACAGCTACAGCAATACTGACTACTAGTCCTTTAGCATCTGAGCAGGACCCATACCCAACTAGCCTTATAGATGTCCCCAATTTGCCTCACCCCCTATGCCAACTAACCCATGTAAAAGGCATGCATAGTTACTGCCCAGCAGTCACATGATCCTGTTGCCAGAAACAGGTGTGAGCACTCAATGACACAAAGCCTGGAGCAGTGACATAACCCATTGGCTCCTATAGCCCATCCTGTTGGTGCTTCCCTCTGCCGTGCAGAGACCAGCAACTGTCTGCATGGGCTTTAATAGCAAACTAGTAATGAATGGAATTGCCACCAGCAACTCATTGTCAGACTACTTAAATGTAAATTTAACATGCACTGCAAAGTTAATGTCATATGCTTCTGTCCCTGGAAATACTAAAGCACCAGCTGCAGTGAAAAGAAATTAAGGCAAGTAAGGGACCCAACAAGATTTGCTCCATACTGGGCAAGGTAACTTGCTTTACAGCAGAGTACAGGGTTTGTGTATTTGGTGTGTCACATCAGTTTTACCCATGTCACTTTTCTCCATCAGGTTTCGGATCCATCTTTGGAAACACAAGCAGTCATTTGTACATCCATTATAAAAAGGACACCAACAAGCTTATGAAAAAAAACTGTTTAATAGTTATTTTTCTGTACAACTTGCATTGAAATATGAACATGTGTTTAGGTCAAGAACAGTAGTATTTAACAGCTAGTACTCCATTTTAGGCTTCTCTGCTGCAGCACCTGTGCCAAGATGTGCAGGCAGTTGGCTCCTAGTGCTAGTTGCCTGGCTTTAGAAAGTCCCCAAGCTTAACAAGCACACATAAGGAACGGTCAAGCATATACTTTTCTAGTTTAGTGAATACTGAAGCCAGAAAAACTAGCATTCAGAAAAAAATAGCCCCTGTATTTCTAAGGTTTCCTTTATAGGAAACCAAGTTGGCAGCCCTGTGTAAGGTTTTGAATACATGAAGGCCAGACAAACCTTGAGTTTCACCTTAAGGCAAGTAAGCAATTCAGTGGCTCAAGACTTCTGAACAAAAACATGGAAAGAACACAAACAAGTAAACAGAACAGGTATGAAAAGGAACAGTTTAAGTTGGATTATGCAGCTTCTTCCTCAGCCTCCTCTTCAAATTCACCCTCCTCTTCTGCTGTGGCATCCTGGTATTGCTGGTACTCGGACACCAGGTCATTCATGTTGCTTTCTGCCTCAGTGAACTCCATCTCATCCATGCCCTCCCCAGTGTACCAGTGCAAGAAGGCCTTTCTACGGAACATAGCAGTGAACTGCTCAGAGATGCGCTTGAACAGTTCCTGAATGGCTGTGCTGTTACCGATGAAGGTGGCGGACATCTTTAGGCCTCGTGGTGGGATGTCACAGACTGCAGTCTTCACATTGTTGGGGATCCATTCAACAAAGTAGCTGCTGTTCTTGTTTTGGACATTCAACATCTGCTCATCCACCTCTTTCATAGACATACGGCCTCTGAACACAGCAGCTACAGTCAGATAGCGGCCATGACGTGGGTCACAAGCAGCCATCATGTTCTTGGCATCAAACATCTGCTGCGTTAGCTCAGGCACTGTTAAGGCACGGTACTGTTGGCTACCGCGGCTGGTGAGTGGGGCAAAGCCTGGCATGAAGAAGTGCAGACGAGGGAAGGGAACCATGTTGACAGCCAGTTTACGCAGGTCAGCATTCAGCTGACCAGGGAAACGCAGGCAGGTTGTGACTCCACTCATGGTGGCTGATACCAGATGGTTCAAGTCACCATAGGTGGGGGTGGTGAGTTTGAGAGTTCTGAAGCAGATGTCATACAGGGCTTCATTGTCTATGCAGTAGGTCTCATCGGTGTTCTCTACAAGCTGGTGCACGGACAGGGTGGCATTGTATGGCTCTACTACAGTGTCAGACACTTTAGGGGAGGGCACAACGCTGAAAGTGTTCATAATTCTGTCTGGATACTCTTCTCTGATTTTGCTAATAAGGAGGGTACCCATGCCAGAGCCAGTCCCACCACCCAGAGAGTGTGTGAGCTGGAAGCCCTGGAGACAGTCACAGCTTTCTGCTTCTTTCCTTACAACATCCAATACTGAGTCAACCAGTTCTGCTCCTTCTGTGTAGTGACCCTTTGCCCAGTTGTTTCCAGCACCACTCTGACCTGAGGGGGAAAAAAAAAAAAAAAAAAAAAAAAAAGTTTAATTACATAGATATAACATGAATAGCCTTTAAGTTCAGAAAGGCCAGAGCAGCCTATTAGAAATTTATTTTGTACTGGTATAATGCCACACAGATATTACATGAGTATTTGATGAACAGATAGTATGATTTCTATTCTGCACAATGTTTACCTGCCTGTTCCCAGCTTTAGAATGCACAGATCAGTGCTCATTTCAAGATGTTATGCAAGTGTTAAGCCATCTTGAATGGCTGTCCCAGGATGACTTAAGACAGACATTAGGAGTTTGCATGGCAGACTTTAGTGCTCAATTTTAGACTGACAGCCAGTAGAGGAACCAACCTTAAACATCCAAGGGGTACTGACAGCTAGGGTTCAATTCATAAACTAGCAGCACATTTCAACTCATCACCTAGACACTTTCCCAGCCCTACACAAGTTACCAGGTATAAGGTTTCTAACTGTTTCATGGTCATACAGCAGTTTCTCAGCCAGGATTCCACTAGATTTTAGAGGTTCTTTCAACTTTGGCAGATGGAACTCTCCACCTGAAGGAGTTTAAGGGCCATTGGGTGAAGGTAGTTAAACACAACCATGGATGCTCATTAGCAGAGATGGTTGGGAGAAAACCCACTTCACAATCATAAAGGAGGTCAGTAACCCTTTATGATTGTGAACTATTTTCACCATTTTGCAGGCCATCTGATTCAACTGTACATGGAATAAACTCCAAGTAGGAGGTTCCCCATACTTTAAAACAAAGGGTTTGAAAGGCAGTTATACATGTTCTAAAATGTAATGTTTTTCCTGCATTTAATCAGGTACAGAATAGTAATTCATGCATCAATTAAAGTACTGGCAACCATGCCAAGTCAACTGGTTAGACTATGTAATCAATGCAAGCCAACAGAGGTTGGGCCTTACCACTGCACACCCATCCTTGCCTCCAGTACACCATACACTTCCACTTACCAAACACAAAGTTGTCTGGTCTGAAGATTTGCCCGAATGGTCCAGATCGCACAGAGTCCATTGTGCCTGGCTCCAAATCCACCAGAACTGCACGGGGAACATATTTGCCACCTGCAGGTATACATTAGATTGTAAGCATCATTTAACTTTCTGCATGAGAAGCACCAAACATGTAGAGAACCTCACCTGTGGCTTCATTGTAGTAGACATTTATTCTTTCCAGCTGGAGATCACTGTCACCATGGTACGTGCCAGTTGGGTCAATTCCATGTTCATCACTGATTACTTCCCAAAACTAAAAAGACAGAAATGCATTAAATTTTAATTCGAGCATCATTACTTTACTGTATAGGTCTCATTACTAGAGTCTCCAAGACAAGCTGTGCTTGTCTAGATCCTGAACTTAGATGTCAGACGCTACATCCTATATAGTCTTTAAGAAATGCAAACTATGCAGTACACTGACCAACCCAAAAATCCATTAAACCTTGTATACTACTAAGCCAATACACCTAGTAGTCACTGCAGAATCAGCTTGTTAAATAGTTAACCAGGTTTGAAAAAAAAAAAAATAAACCCAAAGTCCATCTAGTTCAACCAAGATGAATAGTCATCAATACACAGATCCTCCCAAGTCATTTGATACTTAGCCTTGCCTGTCATTTGTCAAATTACTAGAATGGGTCACTACACTTAGAAATAGGCAAGTGGCGTAATCTATGAAGTCATTTCTTTATTTGAACACTGAGGAGCACGTAGATATATGGAACTTCCCACTATTTATATGCCAGTTATGGGTCATTTAATGCAATTACAGATTGCCTTTACAAGATAGTCCACCTCTTGCAAAAATGCATTCATAAAATCATCAAATGTTTGCTTTGGAGCCTGTACAGCACTGGAGCTGATCAGTGGGTTGCAGATGCAATGCACAGGCTCCTGCAGAGACTCCCCAGCCCTGTATACTGGTTTGGACCTACCTTATAAGGCTGAAAGGTCATCAACAGGACTATAATGCAGTGAAATCACAACACTTAAGCTCCATTGAGAGCTACAAGCTCTGCCATAGTGATATGGGACTTTTCTTATTCACAGATCCCTGTGCATGGATGATGTAGGTAGCGCCACACAGCTACTCTACATTCAAAACAGGTATGTGCAGGGAGAGAACAACATTCAGATAAGGCACAGTCTGAAGGGGGGGGTGCGCAGGACATGACCATGTAACAACCCAAGTATTGCTGCAACATGAACCATGGTGAGAAGACTTGACTTAAAGCGGAGTTCCACTCAACCCATCAAAAAATAAAAGTCAGCAGCTACAAAAACTGCTGACTTTTAACAGCCACTTACCTGTCCCTCAGTCCTGTGGTGTCCCCCACAGCTCGTTCCACCGGCCGTCCTATATTCCAGGAGGCCGGCATATTCAGTGTGGGCACCCAGCTGTGAGCTTGTGGCTTCAGAGTTGGGTACCCACTGCACATGCATGAGTAGCGATGCACTTCGTGAATGGTCCTGTAGTCTTTTGGGACCAGTCACGTGTCACAAAAGACTACAGGGAGGGAGGACACCTGCTTCCGATCGCCTAGCATCGGTACCTGCTACCTCCCAGTGCCAATCTTTAAATGGGGAGCAGTCCTTAAAGCAGAACTTCCCTTTTGAGTGGAGCTCACACAGCCTGTAAGGGCCACATCCAGCCTGCAGCTAGGATCATTGTGCAGATTGAGTGTAGTGTCACCACATGCAGTAGGACAGTTAGTACAGGAGGAAGCCCTATTGTGCAGATTATACATAGCAAGCCCTACTATATAGGGCATTGGAGTACCACAGCTAGCTGGAAAAAGTACTACCAGCAATTCAACTGTAGTAGATGCCTGCAAAAAATAAAAAAAGTTATTGAACAGCAATGCACATCACTGCTCTGATCTCAGCCCCACCACACCACCTGCTGCGTTTTCAAATGTAAACTTGGCCTTAAGGCTGCATTGCAACATGTTACAGTCTGCCTGTATTTAGTCTGTAGCATGCTCAAGCACCATCTCCCCCCTTTTTTTTCTGCAAAAGTGCATTTACTTTTCCTGAAAGGAAAATTTAGCCTTGAAAGCCGGTTAACACCAGAACACGATCCAGGAAAACCACATTCCATGCACGTTTCCCACACTGCATTCAGAAAAGCACTGCCTCTGCGATTTGCTGCAGGTGCAAATATATCATCAGCACCCCAAACAGTGCGTTTTTGAAAGTATGCATATACTACTCTGTTAAATCTCAAATGAATGGGGAAAACCCATCCTGTGTGAACCAGCCCTTAAGGTCAGCAAAGGCTGCCTATGATCTGCTTTAATCCCCACCTCCAGGCTCCTACACAGGTTGACCCCCCCCCCCCCCACCCCGGTTGATGGGAGGGCTGGCATCCTGACAATGCGCCTGCCCCAACATTATGCCTGTGTGACAACACTTTAAGCATATCTTTCATGTGACAACTTCTAGCAGTCCATGCATACCAAAGAAGCACATGTGCCAAGTTTTGGCACTGAGCCAAGCGTTTTATGCATTGCGATCTGCCATTAAGAAACTACGGCACTGCAAGTATGATTTTGATTTGCTGTTTAGCAAGATCCAAAGAAATGCACATTCAGGGATTACTTTGTTGCGAATGCAGCCTGAGGACAGAACTTCCTCCGTCAAAACCTGTCCACCCCCTACTGCTACAGCCATGCTAGACATACATGTAGAGATTTTAGATAAAAATATTTGTACATTCAATAAAGGTCATTAAAAGTGTCACTTTAAAAAATGAATGTAAATGCTGAATGAAAACCACATACACTGTCCGAAAGTCCAAGTGAGTTGTTTTATTTTGCTACTCTGAATTATCCTGCTGCGGTGGTTTAAAAACAAAATGTTGATTTCACCCCATTAATGATCAGAAAATCAAATTAATGCTCTTAAAACGATAAGAGTCATTTAAAACAAAACAACCTATAAGTGTATGGCCTGCATTAGTGATTTGTGAGGGCAGGGGCATTGAGGGTTTTTTGTCCAGACATTGAAATTTATGGAGAATTGTGCACTATATATGGAGTATCATGTCTTACTATAGGCTAAAGCTAACCACATACTGTACAGATTGTTAGTCTGTAAAATGATGTAATAGGACAAGGCAAAAGGGTCCTTTTAGCCTGGATTCACACTGATGTGGTGCAGAATTTACACTGGTTTCTGTGTGATCTCCACATCATAATCGCGCCCCGTTAACACAAACCATTGCAGATGTGCATTTTAATTTAATGACACCCTAAAATCAGTTCGTAAAACGCAACGCAATGTGCAGAATTGGACGACAAAAAAAAAAATTCCTGCACTTGGTGCGATTTGAGCTATACAAGATGTATGGCTTAGATTGCACCATACAGAAATCTCACATGTGATCTGCATAGGAATGTAATGTGCCGCACCAGTGTAAACTCAGGCTTAATGTCAAATCAGACAGGCCTGTGCCACATAGCTGATGGCAGATCTAAAGGAGATTGTATGGTCAGCCTTGGATTCAAATCCATGTTCCAGGTCTTAAGTGGCACACACTCATTTCCATACACGGTATTCTATATAGATGACAGGCTAGGTGTACACCTCTGTTGTGATTGAGGAGCTTTTTACCAATAGGAAGTATTGACTTTGGTACTCCAAGTGCCACAATGTAAAGCCGCAATATGAACAGCTGTCATACTTTCCTATGAAAGGGGCGGTTACAAAGGCACTAGCTTTCTATTGGAGAAAACAAAGCCTCAAACCCCCACACAGAAAAACGGATCTGCCATGTATCCATTGAACCAAAACAGTAAAAAAAAAAAAAAAAAAAAAAAAAATCACCCTTTCCAAAAGTGCATAGATATGAACATGGCCAATAGAAACCCATGTTAAATACACTGTAGGGAGTTTTTCAAAAACATAGGCCTGAACACTATACAATCTGATGGCACTATATCTGCCATAAGCCATGTAACACAAGGGCCTGCCTGATTTCATAGATGTCAGGCTTTACCCTCATTATGTATTAGATCTGAAGCAGATCGCACAGTGTATGGGCAGCGCCTCCGATCCATCACCCAGGTGACCCCCAATCCCGCCAACCTCAACATTTGAATTTGAAACCTGCAGCGCACGTGACTTAACAGGTTGAAAGGCCACGCCCCACTCCCCGACCGCAAACCACGCCCGCCCTGACAGGAGACAACCTCGTGACTGGCTGTTGGCCTAGAGGCGGGAAAGGCCACGGTAACCGGCTTTTTAACTGCCGGTCAGTATATGAGGAACCCCCTGTGCGCCAGAACCCGCGGCCCAATAGCTCGTCCGCGGTTAGTACATTTGGAAAGGATAGGCCCACTTCCGCACAGGCCGCTGTTCGTCAGAGAAGAGCAGGGAGAGAAACCCGCCGCCCGCCTCTTCCCTTAACAGCTCACCTTGGCCCCAATCTGGTTGCCGCATTGGCCAGCCTGCAGATGCACGATTTCCCTCATAATGTCTGTACGTAGTGTCTCTGGAAGCCCCGAAAATAATGTCTCTGTCTGTGTGCGCAGCTACTTTTATAGGTGAATCCTACAGCGCTCCTTTCCGGCTCCCTCTACCATTGGTCGGTAGCACGTGGGCGGGCCGACTGAGAAAGTAGTGATTGTTCGCCAGCTTGCCAGTCAAAGATATCGAGATGGTGATTGGTTGACTGCTAGGCGCTGTCACCTGTCATTGAAGCGCACGGATTGGTTCCATTCAAATGATTGACTGCTTCCGTTGATTGGATGCTGGTTCTGAGTGAGGCGGGGGCCCCAATAGCGTCTTAGTAACCGCCGCAATGCGCTTGGCGAGAGAATGGCGTTACCTTAGAAGCAGCGCTATTCTCGGATATCTTTACGCTATTGAGTGTGCGTAACTCTAAATCAGCCGTACTGAGCTACGCCGCTGCCGGTTACCAGGGCTCCATGGTTTCCGCGTGCTGTGGAGAATCCTGGGTGGTTTCCCGTTAGTGAGGGCTCTGGGTGTCGTGTTTGACCTGGTTACCGGACTTGTGTCAGTGAACAGACATTCCTAAACACAACCTGTCACCATGGATTCCTATAGACACAACTGAGTCGTTCGTGTACTGAGCTGTGATATGAAACATCTATCAATGAGCAACTGTGGGCTAATGGTTGGAAAATCTATAATCAGAAATAATCAATAATAATAATCAAAAATTCATCAAAAAATGTCATAATAATCAGATAATAATCATCATATTAATAAAAATGTCATAATAATCATCATATTCATCAAAAATGCATAATAATAATCAGAAATAATGATAATATTCATATCCATCAAATATGTCATAGTAATCAGAAATCATCATATATTCATCAAAAATGTCATAATAATCAGAAATCATCATAAAAATTGTGCTGAGCTGTGCTATGGAAAACCTATCAATACAATACTTCAGACCCTTCATCCGGGGGATTATGGGAAATCTCCAGTAATCTCATCTCACCCTATCTGACCCTACCGGGATCCTACATAATCCATCATTTATTCCAGCCTAACAAAACTGTCCACTGGTGGCAGATGAAGGGCATTTATATGATGGATTGATGTGAATGTACAATATATATGTAAAGCGCTGTGTAAATTGACAGCACTATATAAGTACCTGAAATAAATAAAAATACATTTGTTGACAACCAACAGCATTTAATCATTTCATTATCTAAAAGAAAATGGGATATGACCATTGAGTCTCTGGTCTGGTTACACACTTCACAGATCACCCAATGCGTCTCAATTTGAATATTACGCTCATTCACGCTTGCAAAAATCTGTAATGCTGACACTGATGCGAACCAACGCTTCTATAAAATTAATGCACGTTTTTGATGTGCTTAACCAATTCCAGTCCAGGCCAATTCGACATCTCCTCTCCTATGTGTAAAAAAAACACAATTTTTTGCTAAATAAATTACTTAGAAACCCATATATTATTTAATTTAAAAAAAAAAGAATTATAAAAGAAACCGCACTTATGTGAAAATAGAAATAATGCCACAAGCAACGTCATGTAAGACGAAACGCGTAGGGGAGGAGCTGTATGCTGGCGTCATCACGTTCCTACATTTCTGGAAGTGCAGGCGGGTTGCGTGTCTTTGCTTGCCAGAAGAATTTTATATTATGCCACCTTCATTTAAACATTGTAAGTGTGATTTTAATTTTAATAAATGGTGTGAGAAAATATTTTACACCATGGAAGAATTATGTCCTTATATTTTTATGTGAGTGTGGAGGAGATTCGTGGAATACCATCTTAAGGAGGTCGGTTCCTCTTGGAGAGCATCCTTAGCGGTGTACTGATCTCTACCTCAGTTGATGTCCTTACAATCTTTCTTTAATTAGAGGGTCATTTACAGCTGGTAAGCACACAATTTCACTATCTAGGTGGCGGTCTTCACATCACTGCCCATTTGATGGAATTTCACCCATATATATGAACAATTGGAAACAGTGTAATTCAAATATGTGGACTTTGTATATCTTTTTGTTCACTTTTATTGGGCCAACATGTTAATAAGCACAATTATTACTATTTATGTTTGTTACTCACAAATTTTGTGACATCCAAATCATTTAATTTGTTTTATATAAATAAGTATAGCGCGACTTGATTTTTTATATTAGGGCACCATTTTATTCTCTAAGGGGAAAGGACCCTAGAGAATAAAATGGTGGATGCTGCATATTTTTAGTTGCGCAATATTTGCACATTTTTGTGAAACGCACATTTTTTTGGAAAAATACACCTTAACCACTTGCTCTCCTGAGGATTTACCCCCCTTCCTGACCAGGCCATTTTTTGCGATACGGCGCTGTGTTACTTTAACTGACAATTGAGTGGTCATGCAATGCTGCACCCAAATTAAATTTATGTCCTTTTTTTCACACAAATGGAGCTTTCGTTTGGTGGTATTTGACCGCCTGTGCATTTTTTATTTTGTGCGCTATAAACAAAATAATTTTTTTACTTTTTTGCTATTAAACATGTTCAGTAAAAATATTTTAAAAAAAAATCACATTTCATCATGAATTTAGGCCAAAATGTATTCTGCTACATGTCTGCTAAAAAAAAATCCCAATACGTGTAAATTAATTGGTTTACGTGAAAGTTATAGCGTTTACAAATGGCGGTATATATACTGGAATTTTCTTTTTATACTAGTAATGGCGGCGATCAGCGACTTATTGCGGGACTGCAGCAGGCATTCTGACACTGGGAGGGAACTGATTAACTGTCACTGACATCCCCAGTGACACTAATACAGTGATCAGTGCTAATAAAAAGCACTGACACTGTAGTAATTACACTAAGCAGGAAGGGGTTAACATCTGGGGTGATCAAAGGGTTAACTCTGTGCTGTTTTGCTGTGTCAACACATTGCTTTGTATTGATACTTCATAGAATGGGTTTTCCTATAGTCTTTATGAAATGGGTTGAAGGTACTCTATCGCACCCCCATGGCCTCTGTTAAGTTGGGAGACGGTTTATCAGCCCTGTAATTCAAATATGTGAACTTTGTATATCTTTTTGTTCACTTTTATTGGGCTAACATGTTAATAAGCACAATTATTACAGGGGTAATCAGCAGGGTTGCCCTCTCTCCCCAGCGCTTTTCACCATTGTTATCAAACCAGCAGCAGAGGCCATTCGTACTTCCCCACAAATCAAAGGACGTCTGATTGACTGGCTGGAGGAGAGGGTAGCTCTGTATACTGACAACCTCTTACTCTTCCTGAATGATGCAGGTAATCATGCATCCTTACAGGGTGCCCTTCAGGTCCTCAATTCCTTCTCTGTTGTCACAGGACTAAAAGTGAACTGGGCTAAATCATTACTGTTCCCAATTGACCCAGGAGTTTGAGCTATGCCCCTCCTGATACGCCCCTTCAGTGGTTTGATCACTTCAGATATCTGAGGGTCATTATCTCTCACCAGGCCTCAGAATTTCTTTCCCTCAATCTTCTACCTGATCTCCAGGATGTCAAGTTGAGACTGAAGGCTTGGAAGGCTCTGACTTTGTCCCTGCTAGGAAAAATTATCTCTCAGATTACCCCTCAACAGACATTAATCCCTTTATCTCAATTGTCTTCCCCTTTAATGTCCCAGCTAGCTATATCTTCCGTTATATCCATCTCCCATGCCTTTCGCTCTCAGTTTCCTCAATCCTCACTTGTGGCTGTCCAGTCTGATTTGGAACGTGTACTCTGTACGGAGTGTAAGCAGAAGCCCACCTCTCAATTGTATTCTCATCTCATCTTGTTCTCCCTATCTTCTCTGGAGAGACTAGGGCCCATTGGTTGAGAGATGCACCAGACTTGGACAATGATGATTGGGATGACATTTGGGATTTTCTTTTCCGAGCCTTCATCTCTTACGAGATTGGCTCATACAATTTAAAGTGGTACACAGAGCTTATTTTACACCCTCTAGACTCCTCAAGATGAATCCCACCTGTGCTCCAGAGTGCTGGAGATGTTGTTCTTTTCTGGGAGATTTTTCTCATATATTTTGGACCTGTCCTGTGATAGTGGGGTTTTGGGAGGAGGTGTTAAGCCTGATTAATCAAGTCACATCTGTTCCATTGCAGTGTTTGCCTGCTGGGCTTAGTAGAAAATCTATTTCCAACAATTGCAAAACGCACCCTAGTCTGCCTACTCCTTTTTTATGCCAGGAAGGCATAGCTCCAAATTGGAAAAAACAGCCCCCCCCCTCTCCCACTGGAAGAGCCTTGTGAATAATAACCTACCCCTATATAAGACACTTACATAAATAGGGGTTGTCCTAAGGAGTATGATAGGATTTGGAGTAAATGTCTGGCAGAGCCTTCTACCGTCTCTGCAATGTCACCAACCGACTCTGGTTGAACTCTTAGCAGATCTATGGGACCTCCTAACCTATGGCAGCATCCTATAATTGTTGTAAATCTTGTTTACATGATTGTTTACCCACTCTATGCTGTAGTTACTGATTTTTTTTGGTGTCTCCCTCTCTAAACTACACTGTTATGGGTTTTTTATGCATAATTACCCCTGCGAGGGACATCACCTTTTATTTTTGTATGTATGTTCTATGTTTTTGTTATATGTGACAAATTTAATAAACAGATTTCTAAAAAAAAAATAAATTGCGAACAGAATGCCTGTCTCCGCACACTGTGTAGCAGAATGGCATTTTTGCCGTTGCTATCCCGTTCTCTCCCCACCTGTCACTGGTTGTTAAGGGCACTGTGGAATTCACAGTCAACAGCCTCCTAGCAACCAGTGATGCAGACAGTGGGCGGAGCCTAATGGGAAGCTGAGACACTAGTTCCCCATCAGGTCCACTTTCTTCTAGTGATTAACAGCAGGCAGTGGAGAGATTCTATATCCCATTGCGTGTATTTAGGTTTTGTGCTGCCCTAGGCACCACAAAAATTGACCACCTTTCACCTATACCACCCCC